TGCCACAGGGGAGGTTCCAGACCAAGCACAGTCCGAAGACCCAAAGACCTCAACGGCGAAGCAAGCGGAGGATAACATGGTACATGTTACAACGGCTGTGAAGGCGGAAAAAGGCTGCAACAGATTGAGAAGCCACAACCATCTTGTTAAACTATGCCACCCATTAAACTGAAATTCACTCTGTGAAGACTGTGTGTTGATCAGTTGTGCACTGATCTCCACACATTAAAAAATTCACGCAGAGGCGTCTTCCAAGCAAAATAAAAACAAGCCAACAAAAGTCCCATGGTGACCAGCGAGTGGCGACAGGAACAAGACTGTGAAATCTGGAAGCCCCGAGTCACAGACTGGCATATGGGTGGTGGATATGGACTCAGATGTTCTAGCTAATTGACAAGAAAAGGAAAGCCTTCCAAACATGGCAGAGAGACATCAACTGTGCTGCTAAGAAAAAGATCTACGCCAGCGCAAAAGCTGAGGTCCAAAGAAGGACAAGAGAACTCAAGAACATCTGGTGGACAAAGAAGTCTGAAGAAATCCAATGCCTGGCAGATACCCATGATGCTCAGGGATTTTTTAAAGTATGCTGATGACAACATCGCCTGTGTGCATTCAGAAGACGACCTACAAGCCACTCTAAACACCTTCGCAGAAGCATACGAGCAGCTCGGCTTGTCATTGAACATCGAGAAAACAAAGTGTTCTTCCAGCAGTCTCCAGCTATTCCCTTTCCAATGCCAGAAATACAGCTTAATGGTGTAACATTAGAAAATGGTGACCATTTCCACTACCTTGACAGCCACCTCTCCACAAAAGTCAACATTGACACTGAAATTCAACACCACCCGAGCTCTCCAAGTGCAGCATTTTTCGAAATGAAGCAGAGAGTGTTTCAGGACCGGGACATAGAATCATAGAATCAAAGAGTTGGAAGAGACCTCATGGGGCATCCAGTCCAACCCCCTGCCAAGAAGCAGGAATATTGCATTCAAATCACCCCTGACAGATGGCCATCCAGCCTCTGTTTAAAAGCTTCCAAAGAAGGAGCCTCCACCACACTCAGGGCAGAGAGTTCCACTGCTGAACGGCTCTCACAGTCAGGAAGTTCTTCCTCATGTTCAGATGGAATCTCCTTTCTTGTAGTTTGAAGCCATTGTTTGGTGTCCTAGTCTCCAAGGAAGCAGAAAACAAGCTTGCTCCCTCCTCCCTGTGGCTTCCTCTCACATATTTATACATGGCTATCATATCTCCTCTCAGCCTTCTCTTCTTCAGGCTAAACATGCCCAGCTCCTTAAGCCGCTCCTCATAGGGCTTGTTCTCCAGACCCTTGATCATTTTAGTCGCCCTACCTCTGGACACATTCCAGCTTGTCAATATCTCTCTTCAATTGTGGTGCCCAGAATTGGACACAATATTCCAGGTGTGGTCTAACCAAGGTGGAATAGAGGGGTAGCATTACTTCCCTAGATCTAGACACTATGCTCCTATTGATGCAGGCCAAAATCCCATTGGCTTTTTTTTGCCGCCACATCACATTGTTGGCTCATGTTTAACTTGTTGTCCACGAGGACTCCAAGATCTTTTTCACACGTACTGCTCTCAAGCCAGGCATCGCCCCCCATTCTGTATCTTTGCATTTCATTTTTTCTGCCTAAGCGGAGTATCTTGCATTTATCACTGTTGAACTTCATTTTGTTAGTTTTGGCCCATCTCTCTAATCTGTCAAGATAATTTTGAATCCTGCTCCTATCCTCCATAGGGATGCCAAGGTGCTTGTTTCTAAAGCTATTGTCCTCCCAACCCTGCTATACGTTTGCAAGATGTGGACAGTCTACAGACGTCACATGCAACTCCTGGAACGATTCCATCAGCGCTGCCTTCGAAAAATCCTGCAAATCTCTTGGGAAGACAAGCGGACAAATGTCAGCGTGCTGGAAGAAGCAAAGACCACCAGCATTGAAGTGATGGTCCTCTGCCATCAACTCCGCTGGACCGACCACGTTGTCCGGATGCCCGATCACCATCTCCCAAAGTAGTTGCTCTATTCCAAACTGAAGAACGGAAAACAGAATGTTGGATAACAGGAAAAGAGATTTAAAGATGGGCTCAAATCCAACCTTAAAAACTCTGGCATAGACACTGAGAACTGGGAAGCTCTGGCCCTTGAGCGCTCCAGCTGGAGGTCAGCTGTGACCAGCAGTGCTGTAGAATTTGAAGAGGCACGAATGGAGAGCAAAAGAGAGAAACGTGCCAAGAGGAAGGTGCATCAAGCCAACCCCAACTGGGACTGCCTTCCACCTGGAAACCAATGCCCTCACTGTGGGAGAAGATGTAGCTCAAGAATAGGGCTCCACAGTCACCTACGGACCCACCGCCAGAACACCGACCTTGGAGGACCATCATCCTTGGACTACGAGGGATCATCTAAGTAAGTAAGTATCAATTCTTTTTTTAAAAAAAATACTTCTAATCCACCTCTGCACCTTATTGGGGGTGTGAAGGGCAGTTCTCACAAGGTTTCCCTATATCACAGTAAACACTTGACACATGAAATCTGGAGCAACTTTAGAATGTGGTCAAGACATCAAAAGTTATTAATGAGGATGACACTTCTCTCTGATGAGTTAACTTGACAAAGGGGGAATATGAGATGACAGAACATTAATTAGGTTTGCCTCTGCCAAATCTGGATCTTTTGGAAAGTGTGCTCCAAATGCTATTTTAAGCCTAAAAAATAAGCAAGACATTAACTGGAACAAACTTCCAGTTTATTTCCTTGAACTAAAGAGAAGAGGCTAAAACATGCTAAAATTTTCCACATGACCCAAAACAATTGGAGTAGTTTTTTTAAAAAATAAAATTGAACATGTCTTATTGTCTAAAATGCCCTAGGGAAAGTGAATGGCCTGTTTTTTCTTAAAAAAAGAAACTGCAGAGTTGTAACAGCAACAAATTTATTAGCACAGATAATGATGACTCAAGGGGGGAACTGGAAAGGAACACGAAAACACTCAGGAAGATGCATGTTGCCCACCATTGGTATGACTAAACCTGAAGGTTAGAGCATTTGCTTATTGGGATTACTCTCCCAGGAAAGTGAAATGTGAGGTTGACAGGGGTAAAGACTGCTGGTGTATAGCAGGAAAATATGGCATCCCCTGAAAAAGAGTCTAAATTCTGTGTCCTTGGTGTGCACAATTTGGGCAAAGCTTGGCCAAATATTGATTCATTTTTGGTTGGAAAGTCTAGCTGTACAGCTACTTACTGAGGACATTACTTTGCAGTTTTCTATGTTTTATCTTCTGAAAGATTTTTTTAAAAATAAAATAATCTTCTTCCTCTTAGGGAGGTGGAGTATGTGGGTATCTCTTAGTAATTCAAGTTTATTCACTACACATGGTCCAAATGTCAAAACTCATTTATGTTAAACATTGCTTCATACATATTTTAGCTGAATAATTTAAGGAGATTGTATTCTGATGTTAAAAACTCAGAATAACTCAATTATGATGGTGCACCCGAATTTGACAACATGGAGGTGTCATTTGCTGCTGCCTTTTGCTATCTATGGATTTAGACACAGGTTCATTACTGTCACAGCTGTGTAATGGAACAGCAATCAGTTTTCAGCATTAAAAGCAAGTTACAAAAAGAAAACAACTGATATTCTGCACAAAAGCTGGGCTTTTAAAAATAATTTCCAGTTGTTCTGTTCATGAGGTAATTATAAAAGGATGTTGTGCCACAAGATTTTATGTCTCTTCTGTAGAAGTGAAAAGGGAGAACAGGACAGATGAGCAAAGGGGAGAAAAAGATGAGTAACTAGTCCTTCCAAAAAATTTCTGTGAGGTTTTTTTATCAGTTTCTTCTGAAAGTGTCTTATACTAACAATGTGGTCTCTCCACCATTCAAAATGTCATTCAGACAATTTCTGATGATAGTAATCAAGTAGTGGCTGGTAACTGTGATGTCAGTGAGGTGTCGGTCATTGGGCAGCACCCTGCATCACCCACTTATCATCATACATGTTTTCCTGACTGCCCCCAGCTTGGTCCCACACTATCCCTAGCTTACTCAATAAGAACATGGCTGATTATCCATGTTCTCGGGGCAACCTCTCAACATGCTGCCAAGATGCGGCCAGGATGGAACCAGGACAGAGCCTCACCAGAAGTAGTTCTGCAGGCTCTGGTGGGCGCCAGACTGGTTGCGTTTTGGCAGCATCCTAGGATGGGGTTTTGTGCCCATGTGATGAGATCCTTAAATAGCCCCTTTCAAATCTGGGTTGAAACCCAGAACACATTCAATATCCCACTGACATTAGAGCCACAAGTCACAACTGTAGTCATGATATGGCCCATTTCCTCAGTACTCCTCTGGTGGAGAATACTCCTCTTGTGTTTTCCCCTACACAGTTTTTAGTAGACCTTGAGAAAAAGCCCTTAGTATCATCACATTTTGGTTTTGTTTTCCCCTACATTCAATTTTTTAAACGCAAAAACCCCAAATTGTTTCCAACAAACTTATTAAGAAGTTAGCAAAGTTGGGGAAGTTCTTTTAAAAACAAACCAATCCAAATTATATACCAGAGTATTTTTGGTATACCAGTCTGAGCAATGCTATACAGCTTTTACAAGCTTCAGCAATTTTATTCTGTTTGGTACTGCAGCAGGTTAAATATTAATGCTTTGCCACAGATTTCACTGCATTGGAGTGCCAATAGGCAATAGCACTAGTCCAAACATACCAGCTCAATTCAATTGTCAAATTATGGTCATTTTTTGTGAATGCATTATTTTCTTTACAATTTGCCTACTTCTACTCAATGAAGAATATGCCTCAGTAGTCTCAGCCAGGTAAGCAGGAGAAGGGAAGGGAAGGGAGAGGAAATGACTATTTTAAAAACCAAAACATCCGTTATTTTGAATGCATATGTTGTTTTTTCCACTCTGCAAAAAAAAGTAATGCAAATTGAAATGCAGAAAAGTAAATATGCATACCAGCATTTGTAAGATATTGGACGTTTCTCATCACTCCTTCAGTGTAAGCACCAATCTCGTAGTTGTCCATCTCACCAGAAACAATGTGGGCCACTCTTGCTGCACGCCCTCGGATGGCACCAGCTGTACGATCCAAATTGTCAGCATCTTGTTCTCTCAGTGCGATGATGCATTTGTTGACATCCTCAAGGATATGACTCTCTATTGCAAGAACAAGAACACAAGGTTACTTAGATAGTTTAAAATATAGCTACATTAGCTGGGCAATTCTGGAAGCATTTTCAAGCTTTGTGCATGGATCACATTTGCACTCCTCTGTCATGTTGGCACAGCATCATCTGTAATTTTCCCAAGCTTTGAGTAGGGGCAATATAAATCCTCCTCAGCTTCTCTGTGAAATTAACAAACCAATTCATATGCAGCCAACCTGATGAGTGCAGGTCAGTCCATCTGTGCAAAAAAAAAAAAAAAGAGTTGTGGAACTCTGCATTTGAAGACTTATAGATTTCCTTTCCTTTTTTCCCCACCCCTTTCCTTGGTATGTCTTTTGAAATTCAGTTCACAGGCTGTCTTGTGTTTTCTTTATCATCCCCCCTTGTGTTATCATCACAGCCATTGAGCTGGTTTTTGCCAAGAGAAAGTCATTGATTTAAGATCTCCCTATGAGTGTTGTGATAGTGTGTGGAGTCTGAAAACACACTACTCTGTATCAGCCTCATGTGTTTCTTGTCTATTTGGTTAGTTCAAGACAGGTAAGAGCTAACCAAATAGTTATAGTTATTTTTAAAAGCATAATGCCAAGTAGTTGACATTGTTTTTAATTACTCAATCATTATTCAATCATCTCTAACTGTTCAAAGTTTCATTTTTCATCAACGTACTAAACAAATAATCTTCAACATATACATGGTTCTTGTTTTTAGTCATATCCAATAATTAAAAGTAATGAAATTTTATTGTTCAAAATGGCGAGAAAGACAACATCATGCTAATTGTTATGTATTGCTTAAAACAGATATAATCTCTGGCAAATAGGGGAGAACTAGCTACAGCTATCTCATGCCACGGTTTGCTGGGGCCAATCACTTAGTATAATGGAACACCACTGCAGTAACGCCTTTGGGTTTATAGCACTCCATGTTTATTATCTATTCATATCTCTTTTTTCCCATTCAAGGATGTGGCTTATACAATGTTCTTTGTTTTTGTTTTAGACTGTTGTAAGGAAGATCAAGCTGAGTCAATGACTGTCCAAAGTCAAAGCTTTGAGGAAAAGATGGAGTATATGATGTAATACAATGTTTGAATGGAATGGAAACCTATATTCCTGATGTCTTAGGTCCAATACTCTAATTCACCAGTTCTCAAAGTGATCCATGGAGCCCTTAGGGCTCTGCAAAGCATACTGAGGGGCTCGACTGTTTCCTCCTCCATCTCCTCCTCCCTTTCCAAGCTTTCTTTCCTCTTTCCTGCTCCCCATCTCCTTCACCACCAAAAGCCCTTTTTCCTCACCTTTCTCACCACCCAGTTCTCTCCCCCCCCCTTTTTATCTTGTTTGATTCCGAAACCCTATATCCCACCATTCAGGGGGTGTTTTAATTGTGTTTTTCCAGCATGGCAGGTTGGACTGGATGGCCCTTGGGATCTTCCATTGAAATACTGTTATGAACATGTTGCTTAAAATTCTTCTACATTTTAAATATTATATTGTTCTTTTTTTCTTTCCTTTTTTATTTATTTATTTATTATTCAAACTTATATGCCGCCACTCCCCTGGGGCTCGGAGCAGCTTACAAGAACAGGCTAAAATCTAACACAATTTAAAAACAATTTAAAACAGCAATAACAAAGATCAAAGGCCTTGCAAATAAGAGATGTGCAGTGTGCAAAAAATAGTTCATGCAAGCACTCTCCATTCATCTGCCACTAGGCCATCCTGTCTGTCAAATTTTAAACCACAATGTGTCAAAACGTTTGCCCATGCCTGATACATTGTATTATATATTATATATAATATAATATATAAACATTTATTGGGACTTCACAAGAACCTTTTGCTTCAAAAAGAGCTCAGTGGCTGAAAATGTTTGAGAACTTCTGCTCTAACCCTTATGTCACACTGACTCCCAAGGATTATATATGTTCCACCATCCATTACCTTGCCAAGATATTACTGCTAACCCAACTCTCTCTTTTCTTCTAAACCTATGCCAAATCCAAAGCGTGGGCTGAGCTTTGGCTTGTTAAAAAAACTAGTGCAGTAATAATGATGTGTGTAGCTAGAGGCGGCCCTAGGTAATTTTCAACAGTAAGCAAACAGTATTCCCCCCCACCCCCCAACCAATCACTGATATATATTTTCTGTTCGTCGTGGGAGTTCTGTGTGCCATATTTGGTTCAATTCCATCATTGGTGGAGTTCAGAATGCTCTTTGATTGTAGGTGAACTATACATCCCAGTAAGTACAACTTGCATATGTCAAGGTCTATTTTTCCCCAAGAGCGCCTCAAGAGCGCCCCTGGGCAAAATCAACTATACTGCAAATGCTTACTTTGCGTAATGGGTTGAGTCGCCCCTGTGTGTTGCTGAACAACATGCGTGGCTGATGACAAAAAATAGAAAGGGAAGAAGTGTTTTCTGAAACTGGTTCTTCTTATTAAAGAAATTGTCAGAACTAAGGGAGCTGTTTGGCTTATTTTAGAAACATTGATAATCACTGTTGTGGTTACGAGATGTACATCACTACCTCCTCTGAGAGTTAAAACTATCCTCCCTGAGCTGGGGAAAACAATAGGAAAGATAGGATGAGATGATAACGAGATACTCCACAAAGTAGGTGTGTAATTAAAGAAAGGGTAAAGCTGACGGTGGTAATATTTAGTATCTATAATAGGAGCTCTACAGAATGTCACACACATTTCTTTGATTCTCACAATAAAAACAAGATCATCCCAGGTTGGAGGAAACTCTGGTCTATTCCAGCCCCACAGATTTGCTCAGTACTTAGAGCCAGGTAACTGTTTATCTCCCCCTGCACCTGCTTCCCTTTAACCCCCTTTCCCTTCCTGCTTGAGCCGTGTTTCCAATGTTGCATCACTCTGCGGACTTGAGAAAAGGCAGGGGACTTGAGAAAAAAGAAAAGGCATTCACAAATTTTGCTAGATCTAGTGCTTCATAATTAATGTTCAAACAGAAAACATACAACTTTGGGGGTTAATCTGCTTTTTTGCAGGGTCCCTCACAACAGTGGAAGAGACCATGGGGAATTTACAAAATTTACATGCAAAAAAATTCATATTCAAGATGGAAATTACTTGAGATTGAAATAAAATGGAATGTAAGAGAAATGAGGGATTTTCCCAACCCTCTTGTAGACAATTAATTTGTTAGATGCCTGTGAGAAGCAGCATTGAGTATACTTTTAAAAAAACTCCTTTTACCTATTTTATGTCTTTTAACACACAGTTGAGACTATCGGGTGATTCACTGAAAGTACAGGCTTATAACTTTCCCCATTTCCTTGCCCTTACATTTTGAAACAATCCCAAAACTCACAGCAACCCAATCCCAACTTTGTGCTTCAATATAAAAACCCAAATAGCATAAATCACTACTTTTTATTCATCAAGTCTTCAAAAGGTGGTGGTGTAGAAGGGTTGTTATAATCAATTTTAGCAGTACTTTGGAAAAGCATGGTGGGTTCCTTTAAGCAGCTAAAGCAGACTGTAAACTACTACATGCATCTGGCACCCATAAGGGAAAAGAGCACAACATGGTAGCAGAACTATTCATTTCAAGGTCATGGTAAGAACTGCCTGAGAAGTACAGAAAAAAGTTTTGTTTGACTCTTGATGGTGGTGTTGTAACTTTTGCATCAATAGCTAGAGGGCCTCAGTCAATTCAGTACCTTTTTATGATAAACTAATTTTACTTTGAAACAAATAAATGAACACTTGAATTTTAGGTCTATCCCCTTTTGCTTGATTAGCATTATATGACTGCAGACATCTCTGCAATGGTTTTACTTCTTGTGCAATGTGAATAACAGAGTGAACATCACATCAGATTATGCATTGCTAAGTGCTCTCCATTTCAGAGCTGCCAATAAAATATTGTCAGAGGATAATAGCCATCTGCTGCTCCTACATAATTGCTCAGGTGAAGACACTTATTTTGGGAAAATATTCCATTGCAACTGCTTTATATGTGCTGTATCCAGCCCTGACATAAACCTGATGTCTGTGTGCATGGTAGTGAAATTTGTCCTTTATTTATTTATTTATTTATTTCTTGTACTTATTGACCGCCACTCTCAGCCCTAGGGGCGACTCGTGGCGGTGAACAGCAACATAGAAGGACAGCATACAAAATCATAACAATACATAACAACTACTACTACGACATATACTTATACTAAAAATCCGCTTCGTCTAATCCTGGGGTCATAGCCAAGTTCGTAGTCATAGTCCATTCTAACGTCGTTCCACAGATACACTTAATTGAAGGCCTGCTCGCAGAGCCAAGTTTTCAGGCTCCTACGAAAGGCCATCAAAGAGGGCGCCTGTCTAACTTCAGTAGGGAGGGCGTTCCACAACCGGGGGGCCACCACCGAGAAGGCCCTCTCTCTCGTCCCCGCCTTTGTGTCTTTGTTGGGACTTTATCACTACATGAACCTGCTACTTCATGATAGCCACATTATCACTTATTGTGAATATACATCACACTGAGCATCCTTGATATCGCAACTCTCCTCATTACTACCGTTTGACCAATTCATTATCTGATTGGCCAATTCATGGTCCCACAATCACTTTCCTGTACTATTGTTGTTCCCTATTCTTTTAATTTTAATTTTTTTGGTACAAATGGGTAATTTAAGTATTTAAACACAAAAAGGGAAACACAAAAATGTATCTATGCCAAAATATCTATCTATGCATGTATTTTCCTATGTATGTATTTTCCAGGATAGCTCTCACACCCAGGAAATTGTGTCAATCCCATCGACAAAGGATCTGGACTAAGCTTAACATAAATGTAGGAACATGACTAACTGAAAAAGACTGGTAGGGTTTTTTTTTTTGGGGCGGGGGGTGTTACAGAGGATGATGAGCTGTATGAATCCCAATCGTAATGGATTTGGACCAAAGCTAGAACATACACATCATGACCAACTGAAAATACTGAATGGGGAGGTCCGG